TGCAGGCTTAGTGATCTTTCCAGAAATAATGTGTTCCTTGCTGTTATTGCTGGGAATGGTGTCTTGGGGACAGTGTTATGGGACTAGTGTTTGTCATTAGCCCTACAGACCATTCTTTTAATCCTTTGTTCTGCTGTTTCTTGTCCTTGTGTGTACACATGCATTTCCACCCATACATAGAACATTCACATACCAGCCTTAATGTTTCTGTTACACTCTACAAGATCTTTCATAGATTTTTCCTGTTTGTGTTTATCAAAACCAGTTATGGTTGTTTAGAAACATCTATTTTTAATGGAGGCTTGAGCTGTAGGGAGTAACTTCCCAAGAAAATAATAATAATAAAAAAATTCCTCACATTAAGATTTCTGTTTGTGAGACTTATTTTCACAGAAAGTATGTGATAAACATACTTGAAAAAACTTGACAGCTATTCCTAGTTGGATTGTTACTGCTGTACTAAAAGGTCCTCTCTAGTGTTAAATTTCTGCTTTCATGTACAGGTGAGCTGTGGACTATTTCTGAAGTGTTTTCACAGAGTAGATACTGTAAAACATGAAAATTTATATTCTTACAGAATTTGTGCAGAGACAAAACTAACTCTTTGGAGAAAATGAAACAGAGGCTTGAACGATACAAACAAGATGTTGAGAGATACCATGAGCGCAAGCGCCACCTAGACTTAGTTGAGATGCTTGAGAGGAAAAGGCCATGGGTGGTAAGTTTTTATTTTATTTTCAGTGTTTTCATAACCTAACCCATTTTTCCTAATACTGCAACATTAGAAATTTGACAAAAGTTTATTTAAAAGAAAATTGACCAGAGTAACTTGAACATCATTACAATTGCTTGGTGTAAACAGACCAGGTCTTGAAATACTATTCTTGGCCGAACTTTTGATTGGAGATTTGCTTGCATATGCAGCTGGACTGAAGAAGTTGCTGAAGAAGTAACATAAGTAGTTACTGCCCATTTAGGAAAGCCAGCAATAGGGACCAAGAACAGTACTCCTTTTATTCCTTGCAGACACAACTGGGTTAATTTAAGATGTGCTTACCAGTGCCACTTGCTTCTTCCACTTGCCACTTTTTACTTTTTTTTTACAGAACATGGGGTTTTTTGTTTGTTTTGTGGGGGTTTTGAGGGTTTTTTTTTCCAGGTTGCCTTCCCCCTTTGCTAATTTTAATTTATTAATTGAAGTTTGGGGTGCATGATATAAATCATAGTGACCTACAACAAAAGGCTGTGACAATTTCTCATTCCATTGTGGTCTTCAGTGTAAAAGATTGTTGCTATTTTGTGGTTTGTCAAGTCCTTCTGATAGATCTCTTGGTATTCTCCTATATTGCAAAATATCAAGCTCTTTCTAAAAGAAGAAATGCATTCTCTTGCAAGGGCATATTCCTTTGTCATCCGACCTAGCACTGTTTAGTCCTAAGAATAAGTGGTTTTGATGTTCTTAAATTGGGTTCTTAAATTCTTAAAATTGGGTTCACTGAAGTTGAGAGTAGCAAGGGAGCTTATTCTTCCTTCTGTTGATCATCCCCCTCCCCTGTCCTCACCACAAGGTAGGTTTCTACCTGTAGACCAAACATAACTCGCTGTTTAGAGTTGCCCCTGTAACCGAACAGAATAGCTAGGTGAGCCTCCAAATCAGCAAAGAGGCAAATGTTTGAACACAGCAGTATGTTATGAAATGAAGACAGGCAGCCTGAAAACAGGTCAACTGAAATATGACAGTAGATTGTCTCTTGATCCTTGTGGAAAAGTGGAAGTCTAGTTCTAACATATTTTACTGTTTGACCACTGTAGAACTGCATTTTTATTCTGAAAGCTCCACTGTTCTTCACCTGAGGAACACTTTTCCACTCAAGTGTTTTTTCTAGTCAGTGCCAGGTGCTTCTGTATGTGGACAATTATACACTATATTTATATGTATCTATGCCTAATAAGCTTTTGAGCATCTGCTTCAAATTCCATAAAACAGACCCTCGGAGTGCAACCTTAAAGATTTGGTCTCAAGCATTTAGGGGACGTTTTATGTTCTTATATATACCTTAATGGGACTTCCATCAAATGACTGTGTCATCTGCAGTCAGTGAGCAGATTTAAGGACCTACAGGATTTTTTGACATAGATAGCCTTTCTTTTGTAGGGTCTTAAGGTTTCCACCTTAAGTTTAAGGTAGTACAGTATGCCATAAGATATATTATTTTAAAGTAGTATAGCAGCAGGAAGTGCTGTTCCTGCTGCTGTAAATGTCCTGAAAACACATAATTCTGAAAATTTGTTTGAACCAAGCCGTGTCTATTCTTCTTTTCATCTTCCATTCACAACTGAATGGAAGAGAGAAGCTTTGTTATGTAGTTTAGGCACCAATACTTCTTGCTGGAGCTGAAATCCTTTGGAAGTTCTGCAGATGTTTAGCTAAGTGCATAATTAGATGTCAATGTTATTTGCTTAAAGGTTACAAAATACAGAGATCCAGTGAAAGTCAGGTGTTCTTAAAGTGTTAAAGAGATTTGCTCTATAAAAACCATGTCATGGCAATTTCTAGAGAAACTTGGCTGTACTTTGTATCTGAAGAAATAAGGTGTCATTGTACGTGCGTCTTTTTGCTTTAACCTTGAAATATAATACCTTATTTCGAGCAGAGCTAAATTTTAAGCTTACTCTATTGGCTAAGTGGAAGCGTAGCTGCTTCACCTCTGTAACTTTGTAATAGTGGCTACTGATTGTAATCCATGTCATAGAATTACAGCAGCTTTCTTCAAATAATTCTTGGCTTTATGAAGAAGATACTATGAAGAAAGAATTTGGATTTAATAGCCTAAGTTGATTTGTTTGTGATTAATCATGTGTGTTTACAGGCCAGGTAGTTAAATAACTAACCAGAAAAAAAGTGGTAGCAGATAAAGCAAAGTTAGCTGTTACAGATAGAACTTGCAGGCTGTCTTTATTTATTATTTATTTAGTGTTCCAAAGCGTGGAATAATCCAGACATATATTCTGAATGAGAGGGTTCCTTTAGTGCCTGCCAAATCTGTTAGCTTTCCCTTCCTCCCCTTAACAATCATTGAATGTCATGTTCTTTGTTTTTGAGGTTGGTTTGGTTTGGTTTGGTTTTTTCCCCTCCAGAGAGCGGAACACAAAAAAATTCACTAGGAATGACTCCTTCAGCCTAAACTACTTTCTCCCCAAAATCCCCACCTTGAAGTGGAGGTTCTTGATCGCTACACTGCTTACCACCTCTTTCTTCTGAGGAATGCATCTCCAGTTAAAATCCCTAGATAATGACTTCTCTGGTATTTGTGGTGTATGGTGGAAATTTGTTTCTTTTCAGAAGTTCTGTTCCACTCTGTCTCCCTCCTTGGTTTACTTCAGGGTTATGTCTGTTACTGGCTCTGATGATCTGTCCAGCTCCTTCCTTTCCTTTCTCCTGAAGTTTTCTGTGGTTATTTGCTCCTTAGCTTGAGGACTTCTGCCTAAGTAGTGCTCAAACTATGGACAGAAGGGGCTAAAGAATTACTTTTTCCACACCAATCCCAGATGGACTTAGAGGCAAGGTAATTGCAGACAAATTGGTTGTTTCTTCTGCTACTTGAATTGCATATTATTTAAGAACTATTAAATCTGTGTGCTTGTTCACTGGGAACTGAATGATCCCTACATCTCCTAGACATAGTGACTAGCAACAGGAGGATTACTGAAGTAGTTGCTCTAATACTAGCTTCTGAATGAGATTTTTCTCCTAAAACCGATGTGCAATTAAATAAAATGTTAGAGCAGTATAAAATACTGGAATAGAAGACAAAAGTCTTTAATTATTTTACTTTCAACTCCAAGGAATATGAAAATGTTCGTCAGCAGCATGAGGAAGTGAAACAAAGCCGAGACCAAGCCAAGGAAGAACTGAAGACTCTGAAAGAAATGCAGGCCTCAATGACAAAAAAACTCCAAGAAACTGAAGATTATTTTCGGAGTCTGGATATGAAAATCAGAGATAAGGTAGGTGGTCTAAGTTCTCAGTTAATGTATGCACTATTTCATGTGTTCTGTGTTTGGCTTTGAAACGTGTAAAGCAACAGCCTCTTTCTTTCTAGTGTGACATCATGATATGTTTCAGAAGAAATTTTTCTGAAGTTCTCATGTCCTTGATTCTCACAATGTCTCTTCCATTAAAAACACTGAAGCTCAAGGAATACATTTCTTGGTAGACCTTCAGTAGCAGCACGGAAATTCCACTCTCTTCCTATTACAAGAGCAAATTTTGTGATTCTCTTAACAGAACCTGCAGAATTTTCAGGGATATAATGTTACAGTTTCCCTAAGTTAGATACTTCTATTGAATTAGTTGCCAGTTTTTTCCTCTGTTCTGTAGATTCAGTTTGTGGATGCTCTCTGTTTACATTCTTTAAATGTAGCCTGTTTGGGTGGTTAATTTAAACCAAATTACAGCTTTTCTGACCTAAAAGCATTCCTCTAATACTTAAGCGCGTTGCGTATGTAGGGTATAATTTTTTTTTATTAGACAGTAATCCTCCATCAGTTGTGAATACTTTTATGCATAAGAGAATTTAATGGTAAACCTACCTATGTGTTACAGCTTAATATCTCTCTTTTGAGTAGCTGCTCTCTCTGGGGTTATATATTACTATTTCGGTGTGACAGATAGGAGAGTAACTGTAATCCTCTGCAGTATTTTAACTATCATGTACTGCGTGGGCTGCAGAAGTATTTGTACGCATAGGCTGCCCAAATTTTTAATGGTTAACCAAAGTTAAATGATAACATGAGAATGCTTGCTGCAGTGAGTTGTTTGAAGATAACTGATCACATCAAAGGACTTGGTGTGGAGACACGTGTGACACCTATAGAGGACTGCTGTCATGAAGTATCTTGTAGAATCAGGGTCTGAAACTTCAGTGGCATTTAGTGCACTATGAGCTAATACACTGTCCATAAGCTTTCTTTAAAAAAAAAAACCCAATCAAACACCCTCCCTCCAAACACACAAAAAAACACAACAAAAAGCAGAAAACAAAAACAAAAAACAAAACCACAAAACCAAACCAGAAAGACCAGACAAACAAAACCAGATTGTTGTTTCCACCACTTCTCTTTTTGTTGTCATGTAAACTGTACCAGGCAATACTATTTACCCAAATATGTGATTATTATTAAGAAAACCCTTTGCTGAAGGTATGCCTTGAAATTTGTGCTCCACAGTACTGAAAGAGTTTGCTGTGCTGTGATTCCAAATACCTAAATGTTTGAAAATGTTGCAGTTTTACTGAAGTGGGCTTTTTTGGGTGTGGTTGGGTTTTTTGTTTGTTTTGTGGGGTTTTGTTGTTGTCTAAGTGTACTTCAGTAGAGGAAAGTTAACAACTGGAAGCTTGAAATTTGCAGTAAGGGCCTTCAGGATTGTGAAGTGCTAAGCTTTGTTTTCACCACTTTCTATTATCCTGATTTTACTCATTGTCTTTCATTTTAGTTAATGTTGTGCCAATGTATTTTTTTCAAACAGGAAAGAGTTCTACTGAACCATTGCTACCACAATTCTTAGAAGTGTTGGGCTATAGTCATATAAAAGTTATCCTCTGTTGGTATGATTTATAATCTGTATGAGAAACCTAGAACAAAACAGTGAGCATTTCAGTTTTAACTTGCATAGGCTATTTGTGGCAGAACTGTGGAAGAAAAATTGGGGGAAGGTACTAGGTGATCAACTCCTACCAAATCAACATTTTTTTCTGCTCAATTTAAACTTGTGGAATAAGGCTTTCACACACTGAATGTTCACAAAGTTAACTGTGTACTGAAGTGGCATTTAATTTGGGCCCAGAGCATGAATTAAGTGCATTTTGTTATACAATATTACAGAAACCAGAAAGATGGGAAGAAGGAAAGTTGCTACCTTTGTTATAAATCATTTATAGAAAACTTACTAAGATATTCTAAAACTACTTTACAGTAATTATTTACCATTATTTTGATTGTAATGTATAGCTGATATTATGTTGTATATAATATTATAATAAGACATTTCCAAACCTGAGTTTTGTTCTGATGTAAATGTTATATCCAGGTCTGATATGAATGATTAATGTTCCATCTTGAAGAAGCCCTCGTAGGGTTCAAAGTAGTTGAAAATGCCTGTAGGGAGTATATTATATAGCTGTTTATGGCATGAGCAATTCATATGGCATCAGGCAAGTTAACAAGATATTAAAGGTGTATTGCTACTTTTTGAACTTTGAGACTCTTTTTTGACGACTGAAATCTGTTTTCCTCTCACAAATCTTCTTAGTTGGGCTGTGAAAATGAAGTTGTGAAGGAGAATCAACACTGCTTGCACTGTCAGGAGATAGTTCTGAGTCAAACCTCCTTAAAATTGCTTGAATTGCTACTTTTTCATTAGTTCTTCACTTTTTCATGGAGACTGCTTGAATTTATTATAACTTAGAATTTTATCTTTGTAGATGCAAGCATTTGGTGAGCATTTCACAGATAATTATGCTGTAAGCCAGCAGGAGTTGATTGATGAATGATTTTATTATAAGCACAGTATAACTATTTTTGTCTGAAAAGTTTTAGGGTTTTTTAAGCCAAATTTCAATTTGTTATTAAGGGAAAGCAGTTCAGCATTTTTAAGTCCTCTCTATTTTGGGCACACAGACCTGTGGGGAACATAATTGTCTTCAGGCCCTTTTGTCCAGGCTTATATCCATTATCAAATAACTGCAATCCTGACTGCTTCTTGAGATCTTGCTCGTGACTTGAGGATATATATGTGAGAGCAGAGATAAATCAGCTCTTCATTACGTCTTGTTTGCACTTTGTTGGCAAAGAGCCAGGCATGGTGTTGCAGATTTTGTGTGGAAGGAGCTGGACCGAAAGTAAAAGTGGAGCTAAACCTGGGAAGAAATTAACGTATCAAGGCACTGCATGGCTATTTCTCTTGTCTTTCTCTGTGTGAAACCCTTTTTAAGGATTTGGTTAGACTAAGAATTCCTAGTAAAATTTTGTGCTTTGAGTGTGTAGGACGTGTAGATTCTGAAAAAAGAAATCAACTCATTTTGTAGGAAGAGGTTGTTTAAAATTATGTCAGAACAGTTTCCACTTTGGGCTCTTTAAAGGCATTTGAACAGAGTGGACTATGGTATGCAGTTTTTTTAGCAATATTTGACATGTGTTGTGGTTGTACCATGAAAACCATAAAGACAATTACAGTTGTTAATCTGTTCTGTAAGGTTGGTATATATAAATATATGATAACTGAAAATATAATAATAATTGAAAAATTGAATTCCAGTTCCTTACTAGTGTCCTGATTTTGAGAGCCTTTAGAATTGTTTTGTGAATATTTTGCATCAGTTTCCTGAGAGAGAACTTCCTCTTCAGAGTGCCTGCCCGAGGTCTTTGGAGAAAGCATCAGGGATTCAGTACTGTGTTGCAGTCAACTGCAAGACCAAGATGTGTTGTTCCATGTTACCTTCGTGCAAACAGCTGTGAAGTCAAGATCTTGAATTTTTGTGCATCTTTCAGGTTGTGGGAGGGAAAAGATTCTGTGTAGTTTTATTTTCTCCATTCTTGATGCATCTTAGCATTGTCAGTGTGACTTGCTTTGTAGAAAGACGCTTCTTCCAGCAAGACTGCTGTGTTTGTTTCCGTGTCTGCACTGGAATTTACTTACGGTCCTTCCATCCTCTGCGGTGCTCCAGTGCTCTGCTTGCACTGTTTTCAGCCTTGAGGGTTCAGGAAAGGAAGAATTAAGTTTGTAGAGAAAGCATAGTACACTTCCTCTGTGTTCAGGACTCGGCTGTACAAGTGCAACCTGTCCTAAATAAGACTTGCTTTGAGCAAGGGACTGGGTGACACCCAGGAGTATCTTTGGACCTATAGTATTCCACAACTATAGGAGCTGAGAAGGATGGAGGAGTGGAGACATGGGTGCCTACACAGGAGCCAACAAGTTGTCAGGCTCAGCTGTGTAGGGTATAGCTTTAGCACAGTGCACTTCAGAAGTAGGATGACTTTGACAAATTATGTTTTGGCTGTCCTGTGCCTAGGAACTTAGGCCTTTCTTGCTCGCAGGTTAAGCTTTCCTTGGTAAAGCTGGTTTGGAAAAAGAGGCAAGAGCATTTTATAAGTGAAGGATCTGAATGTAACATTTTTAATGAAATCGAGGGTGGAGTTATTTTGATTTCAGATTAGGTTAGGAGGCTTCCTTTGTCATGCCTGAATTTGCAGATCTATAGCTGAATGGTTGTGAACAGTTTATATGCAGATACTCAGTTCTTCACCAGTTGCTGAAGATGTCCATGTCATGGATACAAGTAAGAATAATTAAAAACTGGTAAGTATGACTTTGTCAGTAATCAAATGTGGAATAAATGCTTAGTTACACATATATAGCATGTTCTTTAAAATATGACTGCTTTTTACAAATATAACTATAACTGAATTTATGACTATCTAATTAAATATTTTACTCGATGCAGACTACTGACATCAAAGGCATTTCTCAAAAATGTAAACAGAAGCAAGATGCTTTGGAGATGAAAGATAAACAAGTAAGAGTCTTGGTGTTTGTGATTTTTTAGGTGTTTCTTTGCTAATGTATTAATTCAGTACTAGCTATAGCATGTGCCACATTCGGGCAGAATGCCATTTCTTGAATTCTACGGTAAAACACAGATATTGGGGGTTTTTGTCTGCTTTTCTGTTAGTGGAGAGGGCACTTTATCTGACAAGGCTGCAAGTGCTTGCACACTTCACTGCCTCTAGTACACAATGAATCTTTAAAATGCCTATTAGTCAAATATATATTACTAAAGGACGGGTATATGTGACATAAAAGCAGTTACTTTGGTACAACAAACTTGGGAATAGACAGTGTGAGTATATATACCATATATTACAGGCTTTCTTTGAAAAGCTACAGCCTCTATAGTACACTAATGCACTCAGCATTAAACATGCCCTCAAGTAGCCTATGTGTGAGGCTAGGGTTATTGTTTCTGTTGAGTGTATATATCCAGCATTTCTTGAGAAAAAACACAAAGATATGTTGTAAAACAGTTACAGAACTTTATTGAAGCACTCAGTCAATAGATTTATAAATTAAATACATAAGAATGCGGAGTCAGTGTTGCACGTTGTGTTTGTGCTATAGGTTTTATGCAGTCTTAGTTTAACTTTCAGGTGTGTTAAGAAAGATCTTAAGCTTTAAACTTCTGCTCTTGAAAAAATAAAGGAACTTCAAAAATTGATTTAAAGACTTGGTTGTATCTTTGCTTAAATGTTCCTAAATCTTAACAAAATCTTGTCAGTTCTTCATCTATTGTAGGGCTATTGGAACTATAACAGAGTCGTACAGTGTTAGTGCATAGTTACATCAGTAGTTAATACCTAGTTATTGGATATCCTAGTTATTTGTCAAAGGTTTTGTATGCTAAACTCTTTTAATGTTGGAAATACCTTAAAATCTTAGATTGAAGAAATTCATCAAGCTTTGAGAATGAAAAAAGATGAAGAAATGGACAGACAGAGGAAAATACACAACACTCACAAGATGATAGAGGACTGGAAGAATGAGCTCAGTACAATGTCAGTCTGTGATAATCTTCAGCAAAAAACTGATGCTGTTAATAATGAGCTGAAAAAATTACAAGAAGAAAGGGCAAATACTGATAGTGATATCAGTGACCTAACAACAGAGAAAATGAACCAAGAGAGGGAAAAGAATAGTAAGTTACTTGGAGTTTTGTTGATTTTTTTTTTTTCCTAATGACTGTTCATACAGTATCTACTTCTGGTCCTGCTGTAGTGAAATTGAGACATTTACCTCAAGCTTCATAGTTTTATCTTGCATGTATAGCAGTCCTCATGTCTGTTATCAGTTTTATTCAAAGTAACAAAAAACACTTTCAAAATAGAAAGAGAAGAATAGAAGATTCAGAAGTGGCAATTGATCTTAAAACTGTCCTTCCAAAAAAAATTAATTTCCTCTGATCTCTGGGTAAGGAGACTGCTTTGCCAGTTTCATTTTTTCCTGTTAAATGAAGGCGCATACTGTTAGCGGGATACAAAAAAACAAACCTGAAACAAAAGCAGTTTGCTTTGAAGGTGCGGCGTTTACAATTATCTGTTTGGCAGTATATTAGCTACTGATGCTGCTTTTGTCCTTTCTAGTGAACTTGAGCTAACCTTAAATGTAGTAAATTCCTTTATATTAGCCTAGGATTAGTTCTTTCTAAGAAATAAAATTTAAAAATTATAGCTTGGCAGGTATGGGGGTTTTGTATATATTCCTCAGTTGAGTGTTAGTGTCACAGAATCACAGAATGTTGGGGATTGGAAGGGACCTCAAAAGAGCATTTAGTCCAACCCCCCTAAATGAGATCACACAGGAAGGCGTCCAGGCGGGTTTTGAATGTCTCCAGAGAAGGAGACTCCACAACCTCCCTGGGCAGCCTGTTCCAGTGCTCTGTCACCCTCACCGTAAAGTAGTTTCTTCTCAAGTTTAAGCGGAACCTCCTGTGTTCCAGCTTGCACCCACTACCCCTTGTCCTACCATTGGGCATCACTGAGAAGAGCCTGTACACTTACACATACCTAGCTGGCACTTAACTTGTTATAGAAACCAAGAAGAAAAAGAGGTATAGAGAGACCAGGTGACCTAGGGAAGGAGACAGTGTATATTTTACCTTGAGAAGCATCGAAGGTGTACAATCTCTGTTTCTCCTGAATAGCAGATACTTTCGCACACGGTCTATTGTCACACATTTTGTTTTCTGCAAGCATGAAGTTACACTCGAGATTTTGTGTTGGTATTCCCACTACACCTTTCCTCTTGGGGTGTTTTTGGTTTTAAATACTAAGGTAGAACAAGTTTTGAAGAGAGGTGTTTTTTAGGACGAATTTCTTGTGTATTTACTGTACTACCACATTTCATTATCCTTTGCATAAGTCTTCATTTTATTTTAGGTTTTAAGCTTTAGTAGTTAAGATTTCTTTAGAATAAGCAGCATCTTGATTGTGGGAAGATAAACTCTAAATTCTTACAATCTAACAACCTTATTGCTGGAGTAGGATTAAATGCCAGTTATAATGTGTACATGCTATGGACTCTGTTTAAGAAACTGCCTTAAATTACAGGAATAATTAATTGCCTTGGACAACTTAATAATATAATGAAAATGAAGGAAGAGACTCTTAAAGGGAAATTCCAAGACACACACTCTGCTCTTATGTGGCTAAGAAAGAACAAAGACAGGTTTAAAAAAAAAGTCTGTGAACCCATGATGCTTGAAGTAAGAAAATTTACTTGTATTTCACTCTAACCAGTTCATGTTTAATTTATTCATGCCTTTAAAACTTTCAACGCACATCTTGAGATGAGCTGCCAGTTAGTGCAGGGTACATTAGCATGGTGAATTTATTTGTAGTCTTAATTCCATAGGCAATGTAGTAATATTCAACGCTGAGTAAGATGGGGTGGTTCCTTCCCCCCTCAAGGAGCAGTCCTTTAAGGTGCCCTTTGCAGCTAAGGTACATCCAGTATTTAGACTTGTAGTTCTTATTTGCTGCTTTAAAAAGCAGTAGTAGTTACAATTGAATACCTCCCCTTATAGCACAAGGTGCTCAGCAACAGGTACCATATGTCACTGTGATCCCCAGGTGTTTTTGTAGTTTGCTTTGCACAGCCAGCTACAGAAACACCTAATCTACCCTTAATTTTGTTTTGTGTTTTGGTTTGACAGATGCTGTACTAGCTAGGAACAGGAGGGCTAAATTTTCAAAGAAACTGTTAGTTTTCTAGTGCATTCCATGTAACCTGAGAGGATGAAGAAATCCAGTGCACTCTTCCTCTTCATAATTGCAAACAAATGTATTGCTACATTTTAAATTAGTTGAATGTTGAATATTTGTATGCCAATTCTTACACTTTGTACATGCATTAGAACTGTTCAAAATTACTTTTGTTTAGTATAAAATACCAAGTATTTCCTGTTATTAGCAGAACTTCCAATTGTTCCTGGAAGACCACATCAGTTTAATTTTACAAATGCCTTAATAGGATGCCTTTGCTTTTACTTTAAGGCCTCATTAACTTCTGTAACATCCACTGATGTCTGAATTTATTTTCTTTGATATGATGTGACGTAGTGTTGTGTATTTATATCTTCTAGCTTTCAAATTACTAGTGAGTGTACCCAGCCTTTCTGTTATTAAGTTGTGTAGTTCTGTGTAACTGCCTTCATATGTCATGTGTGGTGATATAATGTCTAATTACTAGTGACACTTACTGAAGAATTGTAACATTAACATTTCATTCAGGTATGAAAAGCTTAATCCATTTTAAATGTGGATTTTTAAATTTTTTTTTTTTTAATAATTCAGAGAGAATTCAATCAATCAATCTCTGAATCTCTGTCTTTGTAGAGCTTCACAGTTCTGTATTTGTATTTGATGATGTTCACTTGATCCAAAACAAGGGGATTTGCATATGAATAATTTGTGGAGTGTGGCATTTTCTGGTTTTGATTGCTTAGGTTAATTGTTTCTAAAGAGTGAGATACCTTTAGTAGTACTGGAGCACAGCCACTAGACATGATATGGTGGTGGTTGGAATTGTAAGGTTAGCAGGTAGCAGAAGAGGGGGAGGTGAATGGTGGAGACAGCAGTAGCTCCAGGAATGTTGAAAAAGGATATGGATGGGCAAAAACTAGACACAATTACATATGAGTTGCTGTAGGTTTCCTCCCAAGAAAATTAGTTGCAAAAAGACAGGGAATATGTCTTTAAAGACATTTAAACATTTGTCTTTATTTTTGTTAAATGTAGTCTTGGATATTATCTGACTGCTTAAAATGTCTTGGGGGAGTGTTAAGTCCAATTGTATTAAATCACTTTCTCATTATCTGTCTTTATCAGATCAATATGAAAGACAGTAGACATGCTAAATATGTTGAAAATCACATTTCGGGCAATGACATGAGGGCTTTCGTTTTTGAAAGTCAAGAAGATATGGAAATCTTTCTTATGGAGGCAAGTAGATGCCAATTTTAAAAATTCATTAAATACTGAGGTAGGAGCCCTAAACTTTGGAGTCTACCAAGTAAGTCTGTATTTAGTAAGTTTTAATTGGCAAGATCAGCATAGTAGCCAATACAGAGTATTCAAAAGTCATCTTCTGGATTAAGGTTCTCTTCTGGAGTAAAATTTTTTTAAAGCCTAGACTAACTGGAGGGATGCAGGAATATGAAGAAAATACTTCCTTTTAGAAATAACTTTTGTTTTGCTTGACGAGGCAATAATCACCGAAAAGAAAATACTGTGTACAAGAAAATGACAAGGCAGGAAGCTACAAATTTATTGCCAGGCTTTTCCAATGCCTCCTAAGTAAAGAGATGAGGGGGCATCTTTTGTGAGAAGACAATGGTACAAGCAGCAAATCAGGCTTATATCGTAATACTGCTGTTTCCTGGAGTGATAAGGAGATTGTTCCCTTTGAGACCCAGACAGATGATGCAGGAGAAAAAAGCCACAAGATATGGCATTAACTGTCATAATGCTTTTCAACTACTGTCCACATAATAGTGTGGTTAATGACAGACTGTCCTGCAGGTTTGTAAGACCTGTCTGCCCTTCACAGAAGCTAGTCATTTTTATATATGTGAACAGCAGTGATGACAACTGAGGTTCTAGGGGCTTGTCTTGCCTCCATGATTGTGGAACCCAGTGTAAGGCTGCTGTAACCAGCTAAACTGATCTTTCATTTGTATCCTCAGTCTCTTCTGCCTTGTTAGTATCAGGCTTTTCAAAGCCTCTGTAGCCAGTGGTCTGCCATTATCTGTGCAAAATGGACATACAGCCTGAAAGTAGATTTTTATGGGTTCTTCCAGAGATTGTCAGTGTAAAATAATTCAGATTCTGTGAATCAAGAATAAATACTTGATTTCATATAGTGAATTTTTCTGCTCTTTTATACCAGATAATCTAATGTAATCTATGTTTAGGTGCGTGATCATCAGAAACTAAGAGTGAATGCTGTATGTGCACCTGCTAAATCATGTGCTGAAAGCTTACCTTCGAGACCTATTGAGGAACTGCAGTATGTATCAGATTATATCAGTGGGGAATGGTTTTAAATACGATGTTTTGGTGGTTTTGCTATATATTAGAATTTTCTATGCAAATCAAATTTTCACTAATTGAAATCTGGGTTAGCAGGACTTCTTTCTGACCCTTCAGCTTGTTTTATCTGCCAGATTTTATTTCTGATGCATGCTTTTTTTTGTCCTCTTCAGCCAATACGGATTTTTCTCTTATTTACGAGAGTTATTTGATGCTCCTCATCCAGTGATGAGTTATCTTTGCTCCCAGTACCGTGTTCATGATGTCCCTGTGGGAACAGAGAAGACCAGAAACATGATTGAAAGGGTGAGATGTCCTAAAAAGCACAAACACATCTGTGATCTAGTTTTATTTCGGAAAATCTTTGGCAAGTTAGTGTGGAGAAAGCAAAAAATTGCTTTAGCCTTTTCATTTGGCCTTTTATTTGGCCTTTAGAAGTGAGAAGAGTTCTTTATACACAAACGTGTTGCAAGACATTTTAACAGATCAAATTCATCTAATGCAGTATTTAACAGAAAGTTAAATAGAACTTTCACCTGCATGCTGTTGCAAGTCAGTTATATGAATTTGTTTTATTACAATAACTTCTACTTTAAGTGCCTGAGATCTTCTTGGCAAAATTTGAATCAAACAGTTAATAGTACATGACAATGCTGACCTGTCATGTTTATATTTAAAGCAGTAATTAGAAGTGACACCTTTTTAAAAAAACAAAACAAAACCCAAAAAACCAAACATTAAGATGTTCACTTTCTGACAAATTGCATTGAATAGATTCAGTCAGAACTGATGTGAGAAATACTATATAAAACTTTTGGATTCCTAGAAATAGGCTAAGAGCTCCTGCTAGGGGTAATCTCCCTGCCTTAATCTTTCTTGGGTTCTTGTAAGCTCATCATTGCTGGATTGTAATGGATAACACACGTGACAGTTTTCAACTTAAATTCTTATTTACTTCTCTGTGTATGCTGGACATCTGTTGTCTATCCTGTACAGAGAGTGAACTCTTTGAATTCAGAAGACTACATTGGGCTCTCTGAAAACAGTAAGAGTTGCTTTTTCAAGAATCTCGTGGAACAGGCTCTGCAAATAGAGAAGAATTCCTGTTTTATTGGGATAGCTGTTGCTTCTTCCTATCTTAGATGTTTCTGAGGCTCTAGGAATGTAAAAGTGGAGGGAGTCCTAGATTACAAGCTCTTCTCTTAATGTTTTTTTCTAACCATTTTCATCTTTAAGCTGCAATTCTTCCACCACTTTGTGTTTATCACCTGATGAAGCAGATTACCTGTACAATAGGTCTTTGAGTTACATTTTGTAAACCAGTCAGAATTATTCCATAGATACTTCCTCTTTTCCAGAGCTGTGTGGGCAGTGACCGATAAATCACTGGTCTAGGGACAAAGATGAGCCACTATTCTGACTGTGTTGCACATGGTGCCTTCTCAGCTCCCTTGTGTAAAGTTTTTTCTTTGTTCTTACTATTTTTGATTGAGAAATGCATTGTTTGCTCACATGCATCTGTTTGAGCATGTGTTGCTCACATCATTTTGTTTCTCACATGCCAGAGAAAGTTTTAGTTTAAAAGGAAACCTATTTCATAGAGCTGAGCATGTAAGAAAAAGGAAAAAGGACTAGGATGGAAATGTCCATCCATCAACCTGTCTGAGCTGTAAAGCAAAGTCGACATGGTTTTCAGTGTCCAGGAACCAGATCAACAGAATATTGCTGGTGCTCTGTATATAAAATGAAAAAAATCTTTAGTCAAATTTACGTTGGCCTACGGAGGCTTTTCACTATTCCCAGGTTACTGGACACTTTATATCCTTTTGACATACTATACCCCCTTGCATTATGATAAATCTTTGGTTATTTGTAATGTCCTTTTTGACATGAGTAATTTAAAAATAGGAAGTAGTGTTTTAATACCTCTTTTTTTTTTTTTTTTTTTTTTCTCCTGTAGGTACATTTGCTTCACTGAAATTCTCTCATTACAGCTCACCTTACGGTTTCATCCATTAATTTCTTAAGTACTTTTAGTTCTTTGGTACACAAGCTACATTTGCATGTTATGCATCTACAGCAAGTACAACTCTTGTTCATGATGCAGTACAAGATTTTTTCAGTTTGCATCTGTTATATCAGAGTAGTCAGAACTTGTTTAATTGGTTATGGTAACATACTCTGTTTGATGGTATATTAACATTTCTTTGCTGATTGGTCTAAATTACAAGTATAATGATGCATTGAATTTAGCGCCATCTTTTTGCTAAAGCTTGTTAACAGCTAAGAGTCTTGCATAAGCTGAAGATCTTTACTGTGGATTTTAGCTAGTTTATTCCTTCTTCTGAAAAGCATTGCCTTAAGGAACACTTTTGTCACATTAATATTTTTGTCTGGTTTTTAGGTCATAAAAGAAACCAACTTGAAACAAATATACACAGCTGAAGAAAAATACACTGTTAAAGTATCTGCTTATACAAACCTAACCCTCTCTACTAACACATCCCTGAGAGTGGCACAATTTCTCATTTGTTCAGTGGATACAGATGAAAAAAAACAGTTGGAAAACCAGCAACAGGTAAGAATTTATTTCTGTCCTGTATACGATGTGAACTACTACCCATTTTATCATGCAATAAGCATAGCCTACTTACATGTGTCACTATGTTATGTTTGTAATAATAATGCTGGTGGTGCGTGTTCTTTTATTTCAGGACGTCAATAACAAGTTAAAGTCATTGGATGTGCATCTGGCTACATTGTTTGAGAGACAGAAACATCTGGAACACAGAGACAATGAGCTCAGGCAACAGAAGAAAGAGCTTTTAGAGAGAGGAAACAGGAGGAGACAGTTGGAATCAAAAATTGCTTTGAAGTGTGAGAGGTAGGAAACAATCCATATTATCTATGAAACTTGATCAATTTTAATAACAAAGGTATTTTGGCTTCTTCTTACTGCAGTGTGCTTTTACCCGTACAATGTAACAAGTAGTTGATCCTAACATACAGGTGATACTGAAGACAAAGAAGTTGTTTTGAAATTAAGACGGTATTTGAGAAACCATGTAACAATGTTCGGTATGGTTTCCTGTAATAACATTGCAGAATTCCAGAGCAAGATCATTGCACTTGGTTACTCAGGTATTACCAGTCTTCTGTCTGGGTAGCACATACCTGGCTGATACCGTAACGTACAGAAATGGTACTAAGTAAGCCTGCTGGGGGTCAAGTTGGATTCTCATTGTCCACAGTATGCGTCTTAATGTATTTTCTGGTTTTGTGGGCCTCTGAAATGCGTTCTTCTGTTACTTCTTTGTCATAAGGGAGAACCTGGGAAATGGTTCAAGAGATATTTCACTTAAGCTCACACTCTCAGAAAGCAGTGTAGGTGAGATTGCTCAAGACTTCACTCCCTCTGCTCCCGTAACGCAGTCCCAGCAGACCTTGTACCCTCAAATGCTTCTGTTTGTTCTTACGGCACACTCCTTTTTATTTTCTGAAAGTTGGTGCTGGTGCTCGTGTGCACAACTCATGTTGTGTGTGGTGCATTAAACTGAAAAGGGAGTGTTAGCCGGGGGGAAGGAAAAGAAAAGAAAAGAAATTGGGACTGCAGGGGTGTTACAGAGTCAGAATCAACTGGTGTATAGTCACAACTGTCCAGGTTGCTGTGAAAAGCAGCAGCTTTAAACAGTGTAGATGTGAGCTTAGCCTTCAAGGCAAGTATTGCTCTCAAGTTTCTTATTAGAGATACGTGTATTGTCATGGTATTTTACTAGAATACAGAATATGATAAGGCAGGAGGTGGACCTTTTACCTAAACAAATATTGATTAAATCCTTCCCTTTGAAAAAAATAATTACACTCTTAATTTTGAATAGAGGTGAGAATCCTGATACAATTACAGACAAGGCTGTTATAAATTTTATTTTATTTTATGATGTGGATATTTTTCTGTAGCTACAGAAATTATTTAAATAAATTATTTTCAAGTATTCATGTTTCTGATTTGTATGAGTATCTGAATAAAGCTGAATATAATTTTGAAATTAATTCTGTCATTAATTAATGATGACATCGTTAATTAATGACGACAGAATCACTTAGGTTGGAAGGGACTTAGTGTAGTCTGAAGTCCATCCATGTTCTCAAAGCAAGGTCAATGCTGAATTTGGATCAGTTTTTCAAGGGCTATATCCCACTGCATCTTGAAAGCCTCCATGGAGATTGCATGACCTGTTTGGAAATCCTGTTCCACTGCTTGACTGTCCTTATGGGGAAAATGTTTCTACTGACATACAGTCTGGATCTTTGTTGTTCCAACTTATGTCCGTTGTCTGTCATCCTTCTACTGTGTACTACTTCTTAGAGCCTGGTTCCATCCTGTTAGTGGCTTCCTCGTGGGAAGGATAGTGGGGGTGTTGCTGTTAAGGTGTCTCTTGTGTAGGGTGAACAACCTCAGCACCCTCATCCTGTCTTTGCAGGGCCTGTGCTATAGCCCCTGAGCATCTTGGTTGCTTTCCAAATTTGCTTCCGTTTGTTGATGTTTGGGGCAGGGGAAAAAAACTGGGTGCAGTGCTGAACAGAGAGGAAAAATCACTCTCCTCCTGCTTGTGCTTACAGCTGAGGATGCTGAGGGACCTTGTTGCTACCAGGGCACACTACTGGCTTATGCTTAGCTCATTGTCCATCAGTATCTCAAATCCTTCCCTGCAGAGCTTCTCTGCAGCCAGTCTGTCTCACTGCCAGACCCAGTCTCTTACCAGGAGCATGACTTGGCATTTGTCCTTGCTGAATCTCATGAGCCTTCTGTCCAGCCTCAGCAGAGCCCTCTGAAGGGCAGGCCTATTGCTACCCCCAGTTTAGTGTCATCGGAAAACTTGACGACAGTGCCCTCTGTCTGCTCCTCTGTGTCACCTGCAGAACTTAATTTTGTGGTACCTCACTTGATACTGGGCTCCAGGCAGAATACAGCAGACTAACCATGATCCTCTGAGCCTGACCATCAAACCACTCTTTTGTTACCTATCTAGTCTTCCATCCATCCAGACTGTAGTCTTCAAACTTGAGTACAATACTGTGGGAGACACCATTGAAAAAGTTAG